TCTGAGTGGGTGGGGTGGGCATTTGAGGGGAATGGAGCAGGAATCTGCATGCTTAATAAGTGTTGGGTGATTCTCTCTTCACCTGGCCCAGCCCTCATACTGCTCCAGCAGATGGTGACATGGGGTTAATGACCAGAATCCCAGATTTGAACTCATTTTTATCCCATTAGCTGGGCATTTATGATTTGGTCAAGGCTCATGTCAAATTGCAGCAGCAGCAGGAGGCCTCGGAATGATTAAGCACAAATGAGAAAATAGCACAGAGATGCTCTATGGTTTCCCAAAGGCCACCCAGCACGTGAAATGCTTTCCAGGGTTCAGGTCAACCAGTGGCTGAGCCCCAAGGCTCTATTGAGTGTGAACTGGCCTGTGCAATTATCACCTGGAAAGAAAAAAAACAACTAGAGATCAAATCTCCATAAAGTACTCATGAAAGGCTGACTTTGCTTCCTGACCCTCCCAGGTATGCCCTTCATAACAAACGATTTGCTAATGTTCACCTAGGAAACTAAATGGAAAGAGTTGTTGTAAAAGGTATTTATGTGTAAACCAATCAACATCAGCAAAACACTTTAGTCCTATAATGATTGATCTTTAACCCTGCTTTATGGCAATGTAAAGCCAGGAGGAAAGTTGTGTATTGAGACCTCTCTGAGTTTGAAATAACAATGCCATTTGTATCTTAGAAAAGAATGCTTTTCTCTTGCATTCTTTTTTTCTTTCTAATTAGGGGTGGTGGTGGCAGGGCAAATATCTAGCACATATTAAGTAGTAAATTAGTATGGGAGCTGATTGTAGAGGACTCTGTCCCATGTCACTCTTTACAGAAACAGGAGGCTGCACTCTGCTCTTGACCTTCCCCAGAAATCCAGCTCAGAGCAGGCCCTGGGGTCCCTGGGGTTGAAAATGGTTCCCCCTCCCTGCATCTCAGAGCAGCAATTTCTGTGTTAGACAGAAAATTCATCCATGTTCATTCCTTCATTTGTTCATTCATTCATTCATTCGTTTATTTGTAAGTGAATAAATCTGCCACAGCAAAAAATTTAGGCATGTAGGCTAATATGGGGTTAAGTTGCTTAATTTGCAAATGAATTTATCTGGAAAGTTCTTTAATGTTTAATTGTGCACTTCACACACATAATTATACACAATTAGGGCAGTGCCTAAAAATCTGGGCCAAATAAACCCACTCTCAACCCAATCCCATGTGCCCTCGACACATACCCCCAGAGCTGAGCAAATAGGTGTTGTAAATCTGACAGAAGCAGGGGATGTTTAACCCACTGAGTAGCACAAAAGCATTTTTTAAGGCTCATGCAATAGCTGGTGTTTGTGTATAAACCATAGTGCTAATTGAAAAGCAGTCTTATCAATTAAAGAAGGTCCTTAAGAAGAACTGTGTAGAAACATTTTATTAGCCATCAGGTTGAGTCACTACGTATGCCAGGAAATGCTACAGCATTTCTTGAAGAATACCCTACAACTCAGATGCTCAAAGGTGGTGCCATGGTGATCAGCACCCCTGAGATCTTGCAATGTTCCTGATGGGCTTGTAGACCATGCCCTCTGGACTTACCTGTGCCTGGGCTTTGACTATCAGCTCTTCCACACTTTATCTCTGGGAAACTGGGCAAGGTAGCTCTCCTCTCTGTTCTCAACTTTCTCTTCTACTAATGGGTTTGGTACTGCCCTTGACATCTATTGGGTCTATCAGGCCCAGTGCCCAATGACGAAAGTCACCATTAGGGCTGCTCTCTATCAACCCCACCCTAAAGTGCCTGGCCCACTTGAAAGCTTTATTCATAAAAGCCCAGGGTGGACCTTGGGCAAGAAGCTGAACAGAGTGAGGAGTGTGCTTGACCCTGACCTTGAGGTTGGAATGATGGCACTTTCAGGCTTACCATGCTTAGAGCAAATCACATCTTCCAGAACTTTAAATGGTTTCCCAATCACCTGGAAAACACCAGCATCAACAAAGACTGTTCTCTGAGTAATCATCAGGAGAAAGTGTTAATTGCTAAGTGTCTAAATCGTACCAGAGACACTTTACGATTTTATCTCATTTCCTTTGCACAACCGCTCTATGAGGGAGGGATTGTAAGCCCCACCATTTTGGAGGTGGGGAAATGGAAGTTCAGAGAAGTGTAGTAACTTCCTCCAAGGTCATAGAGCCACAGAAGGCACAGCAGATCACAGATGCAAATTCAAGTCTGGGTGACTCTAACACATTAGGCTGCCACATTATGTTTGTAGTCCTCAAAACAAACCAATGGGGAGGTGCTGATAAGAACTGAGAGAGATGTGATTCTGGGGGAAAAAAAAAGAGGCTTCCTGGGAAAAACAAGTCTGGGCTGGTGGAGAGGGGGTAGAATGTAGCACAGACCAGGGCTGGGGGTGGAAGAGCACGGTCAGAGTGGATACATGGTTTGCAGCTGGGCACTGCTAGTATGAGGAACTCAAGAGCTATGCTACTTCTTTGCAGTCTATGCTGCAGGGCAGGGCAGGGACTCATGTGCATATGTCCATCTGCCTCCGCCCACACTGAACCTTGATTTCTCAAAGGCAGGCATGTATTTCTTTCATCTTTATTTCTCCCAAACCAGCAGAATGTCTGGTACAGAGTTAACAGTCAACACACTTAGTACATAGGTGGGTGAGCCAAAGACTGGTGAGTAATCATGGAAGTCTTCCTGCACGAGGGGGTCTCTCTCTGTGAAGATGTGGACAAGAGGGATGTGACTTACTGGACAGAAAGCTTAGGGCTGCTTTATAGTGTGAAGAACAAGAGAGAGAGAGAGACTCTGGGGTAGAGGAAGGGGCGTGGAATGGGAGGTGGGAATAGAATGCAAAAACACAGGCTCCCCTGAGCTGCTCCAATGGCATACACCTGCTACTCAGGAGTTTGAAGCAGGAGGATTTCCAGTTTGAACCTAGCCTGGGCAATTTAGCGAGACCTTGTCTCAAAATAAAAAAATTAAAAAGGTTGGTGTGTAGCTCAGTACTCCTGGAAAGTTCAATCCCCAATACTGAAAGGAAAAAAAAAGAAAGAAAGAGAAGAAAAAAGAAAGAAAGAAAGAAAGAAAGAAAGAAAGAAGCTTCCTCACTTCCTAAATTTGGAAAGAAGCATTTGCACCTGCAATTTGGAAACAAACATGCCTTGAGTTCAGGTCCCAACTCTAGCATTACCAGCTGTTTAACTTAGATACAGCACTTTACTTCTGTGAGCCTCAGTTTCCTCAGCTGTACAACAGCAGTAAAAACAGCAGCATATCCCTGAGAAGATAGTTGGGAAGACAGATCAGATGCTATGACAACCTCACACAGGCCCTGACCCCAAGCATAGTTTTAAAGCCCGTGTCCCATGGAGGCAGGCCTGCGGCCTGGGCCTGGTACCGCAGGTGAGCGAATGCAGGAGGCTGATCCGCTTTCATCACTTGTACCTACTTGTTTCTGCTCTGTGAGCTCCCGGGATCAATAAGCCACTGATGTCATGCCACATGTTGCCTCAGAGTGCACTGGGACACTGTTCTCAGGAGAAGGTCAGAGGAGACAGAGAAATACTTCAGAGTGGATACCAACCTAGAGGGACATGATCTGAGCTGCCTTCTCCACCCCCTCCCAAGGCGTGCGATGGGAGCCTGGCATGCCCTAGAGACGCCAGGCTGGCCCACCAAGGCACCTGGCCTGGCCTCAGCTTTGACTCCTGTAGGCCACTCAAACTCTCTGCTCCTTTCCTCCTGGTGGGAATTCAGCATCATTGATTCAGTAGGTTCCTGTCATTTGATGTCATTTGATCCTCTGCATGGGGCAAGCTGACAAGCTGCACCTCCTCCCCACAAGGGGCTGGTTTCCAGGGGATTTTCAGGGAAAGGAGGTAAGCAGGCAGGGAAAGCCCCATCCTTGTCTCCCACCTATAGCTCCAGCTGTGCTTCCATCTGGCAAATCCTGGAGCAGGACACACACACACACACACACACAGTCCAAATGGAACAAGTGCAGCCAGCCCTACCTGGCACCCAGCTGTCTTTTTTTTTTAAATCAAACTCAGAAACTCCTGAGAGCCCTGTGGGGGTGGGGGCTACTTGTTGCTCTTTCTCAGGGGCTCCAAGGGGCACTCTGGCTTTTCCTGCTGGGGAGGGGCTCCTTACTGCTCCCCTGGAGTGCCCCCCCCCCCTGCAGGGCCACAGCAGAGGCACTGAGTCTTTAGATAGCTCCCTTCTTTCCATTTCCAGCCTCTCCCTTCTGACCCAGGCTGGGTCTGATCTGGGAGCCCACAGTGGTGCAGAGGAATGCTGCTGCACCCCGATGCCTGGCTCACGGTAGGTCACCAACTGCCTCCCCGCGACCGAGCAGTGGGGTCAGGGTGTCAAGTTCTCACTCCCGGGACGGGGTTGTCCACCTCGGGGAGGAGCCCCCCCAGCCGGTCCCTGAAGCTCCTTCTGAAAAAAAAAAAAAAAGCGAAAAAGAAACTTTCTGCGGGTCCCCAGCCCCCACCAGCCCTTCGGCCCCGCCCCGCCCTTGCCCTTCTCTGGTAGCAGCCGAGCGGGAGGCGGGCGGAGGGAGGCAGGATCGCAGCGCCCGCGGGTCTCCCGTCGCCCCTCGGAGGCGGGGTACCATGGAGCCCAGGTCCGAGTCCCACGCCGCGGTCCCCAGTCTCCGGGTCCTTGCCCCTCGGAGATGGCGCGCTGGCCTCCTCCTCGGAGGCGCTAGCCGCGGCCGCTGGCGTTTGGAATTCTGCCCAAAAAGGGGGCCTAGGGGAAGGAAGAGAGGAGGGACGGAGGCCGGCGGCGAGAAACGGCATCCGGAGTCCAAAACATCACGGGGAAAGGAGCGGAGCGCGGCGGCGGCGGCGGCGGCGGCGGCGGCGGCGGCTGGGAAGCTGTGCCCGACCGCAGTGCATCAGAGCCGCTGCCCTGACATCCCCCCAGGATGGTTAACACGGGGCATCATGCGCTGGTTAACAGGCTCCGAGCTGCTCAGCGACTTGTTTTAAGCATTTTTCTCCCTCGCTCTCGCTTTTAATCTTGTCTCTAGTGGCGTGTGTAGGGGGGAGGACTTTATTTCCATTGGCTAAGCGCTCCCTTCCCACCCACATCCCTTCCACATCACCTTGGTGTCTCCCTAAATAAAACCAGCCCTCCTTATCGCCTGGAAAAAATCAGGAGCTAGAGTTTGAATGGGTTTTATATAAACACTCACCCCTTGTCAGCGTGCGGCGGGGCTCTCAGCATAAACTCCCAGCGTCTGGCCTGATGCTTGCCTGGCGTTCGCTCCCTTGGAACGTCAAGGTTTAAGCAGAACCGAGGACTGGGGAACTCTTTTCCTGTAATCTGATCAACCTGAAGCCAGTTGCAGAACTGCACAGGGTCCCGATGGACCTCAAGGAGAGCCCCAGCGAGGGCAGCCTGCAACCTTCTAGCATCCAGATCTTCGCCAACACCTCCACTCTGCACGGCATCCGCCACATCTTCGTGTATGGGCCACTGACCATCCGGAGGGTGCTCTGGGCAGTGGCCTTCGTGGGCTCCCTGGGCCTGCTGCTGGTGGAGAGCTCAGAGAGAGTGTCCTACTACTTCTCCTATCAACATGTCACCAAGGTGGATGAGGTGGTGGCCCAAAGCCTGGTCTTCCCGGCTGTAACCCTCTGCAACCTCAATGGCTTCCGGTTTTCCAGGCTCACCACCAATGACCTGTACCATGCTGGGGAGCTGCTGGCCCTGCTCGATGTCAACCTGCAGATCCCTGACCCGCATCTGGCTGACCCCACAGTGCTGGAGGCCCTGCGGCAGAAGGCCAACTTCAAACACTACAAACCCAAGCAGTTCAGCATGCTGGAGTTTCTGCATCGCGTGGGCCATGACCTAAAGGATATGATGCTCTACTGCAAGTTCAAGGGGCAAGAGTGTGGCCACCAAGACTTCACCACAGTGAGTACTTGGTTTTCAGCTCACTCTTGCGTTTGGTCCTCTGGAGGAGTGGTGCGCCGGTGGTCTTCTGAGTATTTGGGAGTCTCCCTGTGCTTGGGAGCAGGAGAGAGAGCAGAGCTTCAGCCGAAGGCCAAGAGAGTAGTTGGTGAGAGTTGTTGGAGCTGGTTGTAGAAAAGGCTACCTCTGGGGGTAGAGCACTTGGTCAGTTCAGACATGGAGGGTGACAGAGGGGCTTACCGTGGGGTCACTTCCTCAGATGTGCTGAGCTGGCTTCCTCCCAGCCAGAGGGAGGAGGCCTGGGTAGTCCGTTGTTGTCCGGGGCGCTTGGTGTCCAAGCCGTGTGATTGGAACAGCTTGTCATTGACGAGGTGGCACCCTCTCTCTCTCTCTTACTGTCTATCTCTCTCTCTCTCTGCTCGGAAGTGGCATCAGGCACTGCATCCTGTGGGCTGGGCTGGAGCTAAAGCTGTCAGAGAAGGGGGTGTGGGGCCCCAGGCAGCATGGATGGCTCTAGGGCTTTGGTGGCTTGCTGGAGCAGGTGATGGTGCAAGGTGTGGAGGCTCTTTGCTTCTTTATCTTGAGGGTTCAGAGGGAGAGGAGAGGCTGGCCCCTGGGGCCTCCATCTGGTCTGCTGGCAGGCTGAAGCAAGGAGCAGTCCAGAGAGCCGGGGCAGAGGGGAGGGTCTGGTGGAGGCATGTGAGCAGGGTGGGCACCGAGATTCCTGGGAGGGTGCGGCGTCCTGGTGGCTGGCTTGTCTGGGAGCTTTAGCTTGAAACTCAAAGGCTTGTTTTTTTTTCTGTGCACAATTGCTTCATGTTTGGGTGAATTGCTTCACAATTGGGTGCAGGAGGAGGGTTTGGGTAGGGGGGTGAGCAGCTGTGGGATCGGGAAGCCCTGAGGGGAGTGTGGAACTGAGGAAAGAGGAAACACAGAGGGGAATGTGGCTCCCATTCAGGATGGGCTTGTTGGAGGGGGCTGAGTGGAAGGATGGGAGGAGAGCTGTTGTTGCTACCAGGTTCTTGGCCCAGTTAGTGAGCTGCCAGGCACAACTTGGTATAGTAGGTCAGACGGCAACTGCCAATTGTCCAGCAAGTCTGGGGCATCAGGGGCGGTGGGACCCTCCTGAAGTCCAATGTAGCTGCTTTCCCCATGACCGCCTTGGGGAGAAATGAGAGCCTTTGAGTCTCAGAGCCTTGAGCCAACATGCAATTACAACAAGTTTGGGATGGCAGGTGCAGCAATTGCCAAGGGACTGGACTGTGTCATCTGCACTTATTTGGGGTCCTTTGCCTCCTTAAGACCTTCCCTACATTTCTATGGTGCTTCTTCCCCACCCCCTCCCAGATTCACCTGCCTCTTGCTCTGAGTTCGTCTTATTCTATAGCCAGCCTCTGCCTGCAACCTCTGTGCTTGCTGTTGGCTGTCTCTGATTTTGGAAAAGCCCAGAGTGCCAGGGGCGTCGCCTCTCACAGCTCTTGTGCTAGAGATCTGTTTCCTGGAGGAGCCGTTTTGTATTATGCCTTTAAAACATTCTGAGGAAAAGCACAGCAAAGCCAGCCATGGTGTTTGCTAAAGAGGAAGCCAGTCTAAGCTGGAGGAAGGACCAGCCCCTTTAAATGGTGCTAGCAGGATCCTAAAACATGTCACACACAAATGATGTCTTAGGTGCCTTGGGGAGAGAGGAGGAAATGCCTCTTTCTTGGAGGCTGATACCGTCACTCTGTTCCACCCCATGCTTTCTAGTGCCTGGCAACGCTCAGCTTCAACACTGTACCATGCATCTTGGAAACACACTCAGCTGTTCCTCTGTCTGCCTGTGCACACATGGAACACACAGACAGCAGACAGACAGTCATGGGCAGCAGGCCCTGGACACAGTCCTTAAGAATCCTCATGACTTTGCATCCACCTGGAGGCTTCTTCTGTATTCACGTCCAAGTTCCATTTGGAAGTAAAGGTTTTTGTGACCTCGGGCTGCTCTCTTGCACTTGGTTCATCATTTGAGCTTCTGGGGTCCCATGAAGCTAAAGATCAGACCTTAAAACCTTACCTGTCTTTGGCCTCTCTGGCATGTCTCCAAAATAGTGAAGGTGCCTGTGGATGAGGTTTATTACTTGATGGGTGGTGTGTTATCATCTGCCATCCTCATCAGGTTCAAGACCGTTCGGGTGCCTGTCCTTGGACTGACCCTCTATGTTGACTGTCCCCAGCCTTGAAAAGGGGGTGAACCACGGTGCTGCTCTTCCAGGTGCTTAAGGATATCGCAAAAGGCACCTGCTCCAGGAAAGCTAGAGTGGACCTGGGAAGGCTGTTGTCTTCACCAGGTGGTCACAGCAAGTGGCCATGCGGAGCCTCTACTAGAGGGACCACAATGTTTGAGTGGGAACCCTCCTGACCGATGCTGGGACTCCCTGTGTCCTTTGGGCCCTGGGCCTAGGGATGTTTATTCTTGGGCTCTGAGAAAGCTGAGGTCTTGGGCAGGTGGTTCTGGAAGAAGCCAGCACACCAGCCTCTCTGCCTCTGCTGTGCATCCCTCTCCACTTGGCTTGTTTCTGGGCTCTGCTTGGGATTGCACTACGCTCTTTCTCTAAGTGCTGAGACTAAAGTATTAGAGAAGCTTGCTGTGGGGGAGGGGCCGACACAGGTGAGTGGCTTTTTTTCTGTATTTCTTTTTCTATAAAGCGTCCTTCATGGTCTCTCCAGGGCTAATGCCTTAGCATAAGCTTCCTTATTCCAGGTCCTTAGCTGGTGTGCAGTGAAGTGCGTAATATCCTTTAATTAGTGAATGAGCCATGATTCTAGCAGAGTGAGAGGAGGCTGTTTGTAGAGACTAAATGTCCCCAGGAAGCCAGGTGTGGAATGCCTGACTGTCACATAAACAGGTGTTCTCCATGGGCGTGCAGGTACACTCTTAGCCGTCATTTGGGGCAATCTGACTTCAGGCAGGCATGCACTTCTCCTCCCTGGGAAAGTGCAGAAATCAAAGCAGAAGAAGGCTTTGATTTCAGGGTGACCTATTGATAGGAGATGGCTCCCACTGACCTGGAGGGAAAGGAAGGGACAGCAGGGAGTTGGATAGCAGCGGAGTTGCTCGTGGGGATGTTGGAGGATCTGAGTTCAAGACCACCTGGCCTCCCCAGGTCCGCTCTAGCTTACCTTAGCAAGGCAGGTTTGAAGCCCAACCGCGTCACGAGTTCCTTTCCCCTGGTTGTAGCTCTCTTCCTGTCTGGGCTCCTCTTGCTCACCTAACATGTGATGGTGATCTGTGACTTTCTTCCCCACGGAGGGTTGAAAGGATGGAGCAGGTGAGGCAGGACTTGTGAAAGTCCTTTAGTACATTTTTCCAGCCACATAAGGCAAGGTTCTCGTCAGTATCTGTGAAGGGACCCGTTGTCCTGCTGCGTGCCTTGTTTGCAGGAGTGAGACTTGATGAGAAATGCTCACAAATGACACTGTGGAGGGAAGGGCGGCTGCTGCTCTGTCTGGAGCACTGGGTTAGAGCCCTGCCTCCCTGGGGGTGGGGGTGGGGTTCCCTAGCTAACTGTTGCTGACGGTGGCAACCCCACTGGTGATGACTAGCACGGGACTCCTTTGTGTTGTTCCCTGACTCATCACACTGGGGATCATCTGACTCCAACTCCAGGAATGCAAAGGACACTTTATTTTTCACTTTTATCCTGATTTCTGAAGTTGCATTTGTACTGACCCTTGAAATTTCTTAGGAAAGGTGTTTCTTTCTTTTTTTCTTTTTTTTTTTTTTTAGCAAAAGAAGGGTCTCTGCCCTCTGAGATCTTCTTGGAGGCACTGTATGGATCCTATTAACGGGTACCACATAACACGATAGAGATGTTGGGGCGAAGGTTTAAGATCATGTCTTTGGGGTTCTTGCAGGAGGCCAGTTGGGTCCATAGCTAATGTGGTCTGATTCTTATCGCACGGGGAGTTTGTATGTGAGACTATGGGCTTTAGGCCGTTCGGGACAGATCTGAGCTGGAATTCCAACGGTGACTTCAACAGCAGCTTCAGAGTGCAGGCTGTGCTTTGGAGATTCTTGGTTCTCCTTACACGTTGCTCAGTGCCTGCCTTCCCATCCGTTCTCAGCACCCCTCCGTCTTGGCTTCCGTTTTCCATCTCACATTCCCAAACTCACCTCCAGGAAGCTGGTTCCTGTCCTATCCTCTGACGGGGGTGGGGTCATCGAAGCACCATGTGTACAGCTTGGATCACCGTGTGTTGTGTTGGTCATGCATGGTCATTTTTTGATGGTCACTGGTATCTACTGAGCAGTAATGGTCAATGCAGACGGGGTCCTTGGCATGCTGGAGCCACAGTGTATTTCCAGCCCCTCCAGATGCAGCTGGACTCATTCAGCACAGACTCCTCCTACCAGGTCAAGTATGGGAACCGCCCGCAGCAAATACCCAGGAAATAGTTAAATAAGAGAAAGTCATATACTTTTTGTTCCCTGAGTTGACCCAGAATCTGCCTTTCTTACTCTGTTTCTTTACCTTTTGTGTCCTCTCTCCAGGTCTATTTATGTCAACACTGCTTATCTTTTAAAATCCATTGCCCATGCCTTCCCATTACCATAATCTAAATTAATCTCTTCTTCTGTCTTCTAAACAGCATTTGGTTTACTTCTCTGTTAGCGCTGTCATTATGCCTTTTGCTGCCATCAGAATCGTGAAGTGTTTGGGCTAAAAGGGACCTTAGAGATGACTTAATTTACTTGCTGAGTTTTTAAACCACTGCTACTCTTTGGATTTATTTTTTAATTCACAGGTAAAAATTGTATGGATCATGGTGTCCAGCATGATGTTTTGAGATATGTACCTTGTGGAATGGCTAAATCAAGCTACTTAACATATGCATTACCATTCGTGCTTAGCTTTTTATGTGTGTGCGTGGTAAGAACACATGAAATCTATTCTTTTAGAAATCTTCAAGTATACAATATATTGTTACTTATTTTAGACACTAGGATGTACCATAGATTTCCTGAACTTAATTTCCTTAAAATTTTGTCTTCTTTGATCAATACCATTTCTCCAGTTCCTTCACCTATCCACCCCAGCTTCTGATAAACACAGTTTAACTTTGAGTTTCATTTAGATTTTTTTTTTTTTTTTTTGTATTATGGATTGAACTCAGGGGCACTCGACCACTGAGCCACATCCCCAGCCCTATTTTGTGTTTTATTTAGAGACAGGGTC